ATTCTGGGGCCTCCCTGGTGGTGCAAGGGGTTAAGACGCAACCTATGAAGCTATCCACAGCCACCACAGCACGAGTTCGATGGCTGGCAGGCCAGGGAGCTACCCACATGGCTCAGCAGACCTCTCCTGACTTGCCCGCTGTTGCCCTCAGCAGTGTATTTCAGTCAGTCTGCCTGTTCTGTTCCCCACTCTGTCTCTGGTGAATCCTCTCACCCCCACACCTCTGGCCTGTACCCAGTTTTTGCATGTATATATAAGTAAATCTTTAAAAAATAAACACAATGCTAAGCACTATTAAGCTATTACTTTGCTGGGCTTCTGAAGGCATGACTCTTCAGCTGTATGAATAGTTCTATGTCACAAGGGGGGTGCACTTTCCTGATGGTTGGGAGGATCATGGCACTCAGGATGTGGAGCATTCATGACTTAGAGCCAACTCCCTGCAAGCACCAAAGGGTACTGTTCCCAAGTGGGAGGAGATCTTAATGCTATCACATAACCATACCTCCCTCAGTGTACAAATTGTGGACTCTGAACTTCAAAACAAAATTTACTTTATGTCAGCAATGAGAGGCAATTTTCTCCTTAATGCTCTATTGGAAACAGAAAGATCAAACTAGCATTACTTCTAAACAATGTCAGATTTTTTCTTTTGAACAGGAAATTTGTTGCTATGCCTTGTTCTCCTCCTGGTGCAGTGTACTTTTGATCTTCAGGGAAAAGACCTCATGGGCACTGATGTACATGCTTAGAATAAGAGGTAAGAGTCACAGCCTCTAATTTCAATTGCTTCCTTGGAGAGAATTCCTCACATAAGGGATGGTGGTTTTTTAGCCTCGATATGGATATCTTCCTAAAGGGTTTTCTTAAATTGTCCAATAAACATTCCTTACAACATATAGATACATCACGCACCACATGTATGTGCATATATTTGATAGTTTCTCAAGTCATAACTATAGAGGCTAGAACTTAGAAAACAATAATGAGGGTGCTGAAAGGAACTGCAATTATGGAAAAAATAAAATTGTTTGGCTCAGAGAAAATAACTTAAGCTGTCTTAAAAATAAACTGATGGGGGCATATGAAAAAATGTTCAACATCACTAATTATCAGGAAATCATTAATCATAACACAACAAGATCCACTTCACTCCAGAAGAGTAAAAAATTTAAAAAATTAAAAAATTTGTAAACAAATGCTGAGAGAGATGTGGAGATAAGGAAGAGTCTTACACTGCTGGTGGGGATGTAAACTGGACAGCCACTATGGAAGCTGTATGGAGATTCCTCAGACTACTAAAAATGGATCTACCATATGATCCAGTGATTCTACTCCAAGGAATCTACCCAAAGACAACAAAACACCATGCGAAAGAAACTTGCACCCTATGTTTATTGCAGCACTATTTATTATAGCCAAGATATGAACAACCCAAATGTCCCAATTAGACAAATGGATCAAAAAGTTGTGGTATTTGTACATAATGGAATATTACTCAGTGATCAAAAAAAGTCAAACTCATGCGATTTGCGACAACATGTTGGAGCTGTAAGGGACTGGTGCTAGATAAAAAGTCAGAAGGACAAGAATAATATCAGAGATGGCCTTTTCTGTGGAATATAGAGGAACCAAACAAAAGGTCAAGAAAAAGTCAAATTGAGG